GTACTAGTACTTTAGTGCTGGTACTAGTACTGTGTGATATACTATCTCATACTGTGTTTCCTAAACTTTGTCTTCACATTTGTAAATAGAAAATTTGTTAAAATATCCTCACATTTCCCCAATTCTGTGTGTCATCTGTCTTCTGCTGCTGTATCTGACATTTAACTTAGAGCAAAATGAAGTCTTAAGAATGTCTTATAAAGAAATATATTATTGTCTCCCCTGTCCAGTACCTAACTTCATGGCCTACTTTGTCATATGATATTTGTACTCCAAACACAGTTCTTCTTGTAGGGACCTTTTATCAACACTGTTTAAAATTAAAATACCCTCTCAGTATTCCCCATCCCATGAGCCTGCTTTACCTACTACTATATCATATTCTGTATTATCATATATTTTATTTATTTTCTGACTCTTTGCACTAGAATATAAGCTGGGTAGAAGACTGAAGTTATTCTTCTTTGTTCATTTATGTACCTTTTTTTATAAGTGCAGAGCAGAGAGTAGGTACATAGTTAAAGTACATGTTGAGTGAGTGAATGAATAAAAATATGGAAGAATGCTACATGGGATTTAATAAGAAAGAAAATGATTTATGCTGATGACATCAGAAAAATGGCATTGGAACTGAATCTAGAGAATGCATGTATAAGATGAGTAAAGTATTTTCCCAGGTTGAGCATCCTGAGTATGTCCATACTGGTGCAAAAAATGTTCAAGAAACCAGTCTTTTAGTTAGATTGTTGTGTTCAGTGCATGTATAGAAGCAGAAGAAAGTCAGTTTCTGAAGAAAGACAGTTTAGAGAATGGAAAGCCCAAAATGTAAAATAAAACAAGCCAAAATAAATTCATCTTGAAGGAAGAGAGTTGAAATATCATGATCAGAATGATAGTCTAGAAACATTGATTCTGTGATTAGCAGACACTTTGAGGAAGGGATAGTACAGTCATTAAGGGAAACCGGAAAGCTGTTTTGATGGATGATGAATCCTGAACCTCAGCAGTAGTGGTGAGTGGGGACAGGAGGTCTGAAAGATGTATTGTCTTGCCAGAATGCACTGGCCTGTAGAGGACAATATAGATGCTGAGTATTTGAAAGAACCGATCTCTTAATTACCACCTGACTTTACATCAAGACTACTCTATTTCATTTTTCTAATATGATCTCAATTTTGAAACAGGTTTATTTTTTTCTGTTTCAATTCATTAGCAAGAGATACTGTATAGTATGCTATAGGTAGACAGTATTTATCACAGCTTGGTGTTCTGGGATTTTGAGCCTTTTTAATAGCAAATAACATCTGCTGATGAGCCTGATGCTGATTCCAATGTGGGCTGTTACTGCAGACAGAGAGGAGCAGGAAGAGACGTCCTAAATTGAAGTAGCAACCAGGCCAGGCATGACAGAGCTGCAGCTCTTTCCACTCCCACCTGGTCATGGACCATCTATCCTCAAGGAATGCTGGTGGCCACATTTACTGCGGCTGGATGTGTGTTGGGAGCTGCAGGATTCCAACACTGAAATCCATTTCACACAGTGATGAACAGAAGTTTAAAGGGGTCCCTTTGATAAAACACTGCATCAGTGATGAAAGGAAGACACAAGAAAGAAAGAGGCAAGGCTCTTTCCCTTTGCACTCAATGGTAATTGTTATTATAATCAGTTTACAGAAATGTTAATGGAAAAATTGATACATGCCAGTCACCAGACTAAGTGCTCAAATTAGAAATTTAATATATAGTATCTTATTGGAGCTGTAGCATAACAGGTGAAACGGGTATATACAATTATGAATGATCCAAGAGTAAGAGATGGACCATCCAATTCTGCCTTGGGAAATTTTCTTAGATTTCAAAACATTTGACCTGAACTTGAAGCACTTTAAGAGCCCTTACATAAAGAAGGAAAGGGCAGGCATTGCAAGCAGAAATAACACTCACAAAGGCACATAAGACATACAACTATGTGGCATGCTCAGGAAGGAGACTAAATGGTGTATATGTAGCTTACATTCTTGAGATTCTTGGGAAGAAGTAGGTGAGAAGAATTTTGAATGACTTTTTGGACGAGTAATTGAAGATGCAAGAAAGAGGAGATCTCTGGGATTTGGCTTAATTCTGTGCAAGTTAACTAGCATTTTATGCTTTTGTAGAGAATCCCAAGCTACTTTACACATCCTAGTTTGGACTATTTTGAATAATTCCTGGATTGCATCTTCAAACCTACGAAAACTTCTTGGTTCCTTGTTTTTACACCAACTTGTAGAACATCAAACTGGAACTGTACTGATGGCACAGCTAGTAATTTACTCAAGGGCCCACAGCAAAGAAATTATGGTTTGTATTAAAGCTAAGATGTACTAACTCCCCGGGATCTTGTTTATACACTGTGTGATTTCAAAGCCAGGTTGTATTCATTTTGGAGGTATCATGAGATATATCATAATAGAAAGGTCGCTATGAATTTGTATTGGGTAAGAGATAAGGTCATAAAGCTATTAAGAAGACAAAAGTTACCATTTGTTTCACCTAATTTACAAACCAGTCACCTTAGACCTTGAGATTTAAATTGATCTAGAGAAATTGGAGGCACCAGAGTTGAATTCTAAGCAAGTTTCATGTAAACACAATGTATCTTCTTAGAGCTAAGGCTCCAGACAGCAGGAGAAAATAGATAAGGAAGAAGCTAATTGTTTAGCTTTACAAATGAGAAGTGTATAAGGACTAGAAGTAAACAGAGGGAAGAAGTGGGTATGACTCATCTGAGAAAGTTCCTCCTGCTTTTTAAGCATTCTTCCTAGTATCATAGACGCTGAGTGCTAGTGGGTGTGTATATGTGGAGAGGGTAGGGGATTATTTAAGTGTTACTCAGTGAACCAAAGAATCACAGAATTACAGCATCCTACAAAAATTCTCCTCCAATCGCATCCATTTTGAGGACTCAGAAGTATGAGACAAGAGAGGAGAAATTACTTGTCTAATACTATATAACCATTTCAGTTTAGAGCTAAGATGAGAACCTCAGTTACTTTAGAGAAAGCAATTACCTAGTGGTTGCTTTTTGGAATGAACAGTCAATATCTCTGAAGTTTATTTCAGAATAAAACTTATGTTTCAAGACTTAGACCCCAGAACAAGCACGTAGCTCACCAGCCCCATCCATCTGGTCCATGTACATCCCAGAGCTTGACTTTCCTCTCTGACAAATAGGACAGGAGGTGAGCAACGCAGAGGGGAAAGAGAGAGGGAGAGAGCAGGGCAGCAGAAAATGTAACTTTTACCCATGCTGTAATTGTTCACTAGGCAAAAGAATGTCCTAACCTGAAAGAGAGAGGTCCTATCCAAAGTACTGCACCTCTATGGCCAGTAGGTTACCATATTAGGAAGGAATTTGGGAAGGCAAAAGACCAGTCAGTTTTTGAAGGGCCAATCCTTAATTTATTAAACTGAAAAGTAAAAAGCTACCTATGCTACTATGGTGTTTTTAAAACATGTCCATAAGTCCTTTGGCACTCCTCCCTTCGAGAGGAGGAGGTACATTCCCTACCTCTTGACTTTGAGCTGGCCTGACAATTCCTCTCTAGCCAATGGAATGTTGCAGAAATGACAGTGTCACTTTGGAGAAGAGGTCATAAGCGACTCTTTGGCTTCCTCTTTGATCTCTGGAGTAGATCACTTGCTCGGGGTACTCAGGTAGTCCCATGGGGAGGTTCCTACAGGGAAATTCCTACAGCAAGACCCTAAGGTTTCCTACCCACGTCCAGGGCTCAGTGGAAGTCCTGGCTTCTCCATCCCCAGTCAAAACTCAGATGAGCACAGTCCCCGCCAAGTGTTTGGAAGTCTCATTTGTAAAGTTGAGCACGAACCATGCAGCTAGGCTGTGCCCAAATTTCTGACCCATGGAAACTGAGGTCATGAATATTTGTTGTTTTAGTTTCTAAAGGGTGATTTTTTTTAATAGCAATCCAAAATAACTGAGTTATCTTTCCTACTTCTTACTTATTCAGATACCATTTTCATTGTCTTTAATACTTAAAGCAATCAGTAGCTAAACTTGCTATTTATAAATTTTAGATATAAAGCATTCCAATTAGACCATGTGCTTTTGAAAATAGCTCAGTATTCTACAATGTAAGAAAATCCTCATCTTCTTACCTTTCTTTGGTAACAAAATACTAACATCAATACTAATATTAATAATAATAACATAACTAAACATATATTTTATAAATTTATTATATAATTTTATCTAGCCTTACAATTGGAGATAAACACTTCGTTATCCCCATTTGATTCATAAACTGAGAATGAGAATGAAACTGTGCTATTGAAAGTTATACATTCAATAAAAGAATCTGTATTTCAAATTATATTTTCTGAGTCCACTGTAATATTTTTATAAATCGAGGGTGTTTATAATGAAAATAACCATTCAATTTTCATTCCTAAACCCTGACATCTACTCACTACATCCTGTGACTCTTCACTCTGATACCGGGCAGATTTTATACATCTCCTTTCTCTTTTATATTACTGATGTTTAGAAGTGGGCTAATGGGCTTTGTTTGTTTTCCCTTGTTTTGTGGGTGTCTCTTCTTAGAAATCATCTACAGTAATTGTCTTTGCCCATAAACAAGTCATTATATCTTAAACATTTTGTCCTGTTTAGGTGACCAATAACATAGAAATAATAAATACTAGGGCAATAGCCTCATTTGGCTACCCAGATTAGTAACTGCATTGATTATTTCTATAACTTGATTTTCTGTATTTTGTTCTTCTCCTGTTTTATGTAATTGCATAACAAGGTCAATAGTATAAAAATAAACCATTATAAATGATAAAGGATAGCGAATAAAAATTCAAATTTAGTATTTTCATTTCACAAAAAAGAATACTGTCTGCAATATGAGAATTTGTTTTTACCTTTTTATTCCATATTTATAATATATCATCATTGATTTTCCATTGAATAATTTTCAAAAAGTGTAAAAGTACTTAAGGCAATTATCCTTACAAGAGCACACATCTAAATCATTCAGGGAGATTTACTGGGCTGGGATCGATCCCAGCTATTTACATTTTTTTTTTTTGAAGAATGACGTTCAATTCTGGTTAAAAACAACTTTCAAAAGGTGTTTCCAAACAGGGTACAGTTAATAATAAATTAACTGAAAGCACATGACACAGCTTATGACAATAGAAATGCATGTCCCATTTCATCTTAATTTTTAGAAATAAAACAAAGAGAGTATTAAAATGTCTATTATCTAGCAAAAAATAAAAATAACTCACGATCTGATTTTAGAATTTATTTGGAACCTTCCTGCTTTCTTCCCATAGGAACATTTCAGCATTGTTCTTTGCATTTAAATATTTCTAAATGTTTGAAATTTCCAAGGGAAAATAAGGATTCGAATTATTCTTAAAAGGATTTTGAAGGCGTACACTACACTAGGAAATAGCACTTCTTTGTTCAACCTTATGTATTAACTCATTAGAACTCATCTTTATCAGCCCAGAGATTTTTTTTCTTAGAATCAAATGATAGTTTACATAATAAAGAAGTCATATAAAATCCAGATCTTTAATACAGAATCCCAATCATAGACAGACTGCTACTCACACTAGTGTTCATACTACCCCGCTAGCATTTGTTTCTTTATCTGAGTTGTTAGCCTGCTCAATTTGAATTCCCTATTTAGCTCTTTAGATAAATGGATCATGTGTGGTTTTTTAATGACCATGTTACATGCTCTGCTGTGTTCTAAATACCTTCAATTCTTCTGAGGCTCCTTGAATATTCAAAATGAAATGGCTCATTTGTAGGTAATTTGAGTGTCATATTCTTAGAGAACTAACTAAAGCCACAGAAAGGAAAGTAACCAAATAGAGTAACTTTCACATTTTTAAGCATGCTTTCTCTTCATGAGAAGCTGTCAGAATTATTATGCATTTGTTCAATAACTTTCATTTGGAGAATATTTATGGAAAATATCTACTCTTTTCTGTGTGCTGTTTTATCTTGATTCTTTGGGGTGTTGGCAACCAAGTCTTTCTATTCTTTCATTATCAAAGCATGAGTCCTATCTCATTTTAAAGTGTCTTCCCTCTTCGGGATATCTCATTTTCATCTTCTATATAGAAGAAGACAATACTACATATTTATGTATTTGCCAAGTTCAACTCAATTTTTCTCTTCCTGGGGACACAGAAAGTGTTTTTCTATGTTTTCTATGTTTTCTATGACTTTGTCTATGACTACATTTGAATCTTGGAGTCAATAAATTCTATGAAAATAATGGATGTTGATCTAAGCTGAAGCATTGACCAACAGCAAGCCACACACTTCAGATGGCAAAGCTACAAAAAAATTAACTCCCTCTGTTGGACATGTGTCATAAACAAGATATAAGGCTTCTTATATAGAACTGCTGAAATAAATACTGGAGCTGTTAGCCCAACAGAGCTTATCTTAGTCTATTTAATGCATATGATAACTATAGCAATCCAACCACATTACAAATATCGATGATAAATATACACTGCAAACCACCGTATTCAACTGTCTCCTTGTGTTGAGGCAACTCCAAGGGCTAAACATGCCCCATATTTTGATCTATTGCCTGCAAACAACTTGTTAAAATGACGATTCGTAGTCCTCCTTGGCTGGAGAAAATCAGAGCCTACAAAAGTAAAGAGGAGTAAAAGAGAAGTAAAAATTAAAGGTTCTTAAAAATTTTGTGCATCAGAATCACCTGAGAAATTTATTTAAAGTACAGATTGGCCACACCTCAAAGATACCTATTTAGTTACTCTTGGATAAGGTCAAGAACAATTCCTCTTGCTATGAATGTGAAATGATTCGTATGTATGATTCAAGGAATAGACTTTGTGAAGTCTTGGACAAGACCCTAGTGGAGGCATTCTCTCTTTACATCCTGAACAACAATATAGAAATTATGGGAAAGGTTTGAAAAGTTCCTGTAAGTGGTAGCTTTCAAAGTTTGACCCATGGAATACCTTATTCACATTATCAAGGTCACAGTTTTTGTTGTTGTTGTTTTTAGCAGACTCCTAGACAACGACTAGCATCTCATGAAACAGCCTTTCTGGTGAAGGACTCTGCCCCGAGATCTGAGGTCTTCCCTGTGACTTGTTCCTCAGCAATTCTTGGATGCACAAAAGTTTGAAACTATTATCACAGGGGTTGTCTGTGCATAACTGAATGATTAGTTTAATTTATTATCCATACCTTTTATCTGAACTGCAACTTTAGTTTTCCCACCACTTCAAATTTTCAACCTGGAAGTGAATATATTATTACTAGAGTTTTCCTAGTTATTGAAACCAGGTATCCACGAGGTCACTCTAGAATTTATAATGACTCACAGCTGCTGCAAGATTAAATTTATTTTCAAGGTCATTAAGGAATATATTTCTAGATTTCCACTAAGAAAAATGCAAAAGGTTGTATTTGGAGGAAAACTTAGAGCACAATCATAAGGTCTAGAGGACACCCAAAATGACTGCTTTTTGAAATTACAATATGTAAACAGGATGTTATATGAAACGATGGTATGACAAAGTCAGGTGATACAGCAGTGTGTAGGGTTACATTAAGTGTGTTTTTATTTGATAGAGTATGGTTCTGTAGAAATAGCGCCATCTAGATGACTTTGTAATAATACTATCATTTCTTTCCTCCAGGGCTGGCACTGAGCAACATGGTAGGAGATGGGATTAGGTGTCAAGTTTCTCACTAATTGGCTGAGTGTCTTTAAGAAGATCACTCATCCTGGGTAGTAGATTTCTGCTCTGAACTAATTTAGATCATTTTATAAAAGTAAAAAATAAAAGAGGTAATTCATATGAAATAAATTTGTAGTATATCAATACCCAGAGGGGTTAATATTATTAACTCCATTTAAGCTAACAGGAAATTGAGGTTCATGTGAGGTCATGATTGAACAAGAGAGAAGAAGAACTCTACTTGACTTTAAACTTATACTCCTTGAGAGTCAATATTTATTGCATAATGATATATTCATTTATTTAACCTTGTAATTATGCCATTTTCATTATGCATGCTCATGGCTTCTAAGATAGTTTTGTCTTATTATCATTTGTCTCATTGAAATACATGACACTGAATACCTCATACAACTGTGGCATAATGGGTCAAGGAATAATAACAGAACTTCCAAGCCTTTCTCCATACAGTAAAAGTAGAACCCATTATCATTCTGACCCCTGTATAACTAATGCCTGAAGTTAGGACTTTGCACTGCTTACACTGTACTTATATTGTCAAAGGAAATTGATACTCATCAAAATTTAGCCTGGAGAGCACACAAATTACACAGCTATTCACACGAGTTCAATGTTAAATTTCATTCTCTCTGCTATTCATTCTTGCATTTATTTTAGGTGCTCAGAAAGTAATTTATAAATAACAAAAGTAATATGTCAACTTTTTGCAAAGATATTTTGCAGTCTGAGATACTGTGTTAATAAGAAACAAGACTAAATATTAATAGGAGCCCCCTCTCCCTCTTGTAACTTACCCTACCCATAGTTAACAGATTTGGAGAGAAACTGCTGTCTATCTGCCAAGACCCTTGAACATACATCAAAGATGGATGACTGTCTTCAAGAAAGCATGCAGTACAGAGTAAGGCTTTTCTGATTAATAGTCAGTTAGGGTTTCTTGTCATTCTCTAATGATATGTTCCATGGTGAGTAACATTGCCTCTTGAAGGCCCTTCTCTCCTCCCATTCAGAGAAGAGATCTCTAGTTTCTGGTTCCAACAGTGAAAGAATCTGACATTCATTGGACTAAGCTCACTAGCAGCCAGGATTAATGCACTGAAGGTGACTTTGCGTGCCTAATATAGTCCCTTGCTATTTTCATCTGCTACTATTTAGGGATAGCAGATTTTGTGCTTCTGATTTTCTTATAGTAAACCCAAAAGGCAGGGAACCTCTCCAGAGTATGTAGAAGACACACTACCTTTTAGCCTTTTCTCCCAGGGTGTAGGGATAGGTAAGATCAGCCCTATTCTGAAGACCCAGATGTATTCAGTTTGGAGAGAAATAAACACCCCCATTGCGACCTAGGGGCCAGCTCTGTCCAGTGCCAGTATGGCGGGGGGCACTTGGATCTCCCTTAAGACATATGTTCTTTGGCTGAATACTTCACTTCTGAAATTTCAAACTAGTGGGCCTCAGGCTGAGTATGTTCTACATATGTGTTTTCCTTGGCTCTTTGACTTCATTTTATTTTTTTTTAATAAATCTAAGTCAGCCTATCATTGAGGGTATACATACAAATCTACACTTTCAGTTTCTCTTCAAAAAACTACAATAGCTGGCAGTATAGGGGGATAAATTAATGGCAAAAAACAAATGGAGCTGAGTAAAACCTGTCCTCTGTTTAAGAAATATGTGCTCTTCAGTTACCTAAGGGTTCACAGATCCCTGTTGCATCCCAGACTTGAAAATCAAATGGAAGGTGTTCTTTATTTTTATGTGAAAATGTTTGCAGAAAAGAAATCCTTGCTTGTACTATATTCCATCTACCTTGGCACAGTACTAAATAGAGACCAAGAGCATTATGCTTATATCTGGCAGCCCATTTGCTTTTATTTTTGTTACCTTCTGATCCTTGTAGGCACTCGCATTTAATATCCCTTCTCAGAATTCTGAATGAGCAAAAGTGATCAAGACACCAAATTCTCCCTTAAATACCTTACATACTGAAATTTTCAGCTGTTAGCTTTGGGGGAAAAAAAAGCAATGAGATTATTAAATGAACTCCACGTCACTTGGAACATTTTCTCACTGTCTTTTCAGGTCCTTTCCCAGGTTTGTCTTAATAAACATCAGGAAGAAACTAAAGGACAGCTGAGTCTTCCTGGTACCTACGCCAAATCTCAATTTCCTGAAATGGAGCACTCTTCACATTTGAATACAAAAGCCAGAAAAAACAGAAGGGAGACAAGGAGTTAAAAATTTGTTAGTACAAATGAAATTACATAAAAATATAACTTTACTGATGCTAACAATGTTTGGAAGTTGGGAGCACGCTAATGTATAATGAGACAGAGAACATCATGTGTCCCTGTGTGGGTACGTTTGGTCCTTTGAGGGAAACGTGTTGTAAGTTTTGTTGTTGTTGTTGAACTTTGTTCTACAACTTCCACCAGAACCCATTCTTTCCCATGATGCTCCCTTGGTATATATACACTCTATAAGTCTCATAGCCCAAGTGCACCTGTCTAGCTCATCGCAACATGAGGTCAATCAACAAACTCAAAGGAAATGTGTTTAAATTCTTGGTTGCATTTTAAACCATTGGGCAAGGCAGAGGATCAGACTTCAGGCGACTTTCACATACTGACCTTCTAGGGCCCAAGAAGAGAGTGCTCTTCTGAGGCCAATAGACGCAATAACTCTGAATTCGGGTTCTTCAGGTCTTTTGACTCCTAGAAATAAATAGTTTTTTAAAAAATCAATCAAAGGGACACAGACCCGATAGTCCATGAGATGATAAAAAAGTCCGTTATTCCCAAAGGTTGATGACAGAAAGAGGGTTGGCAGGGATAGGCAGCAACCACCCACCACACACGGTAATTATAGGATATAAAAGTCATTGTTATTAGATACATCTGTGAAATGGTGAAGAGCAAGAGCAGAGATCTGGGGCACAGGGGGGGGTCCCAAGCTGGTGCCATTTTGCATCCACTGAGTTTCTGGCTCTTGGGGAGCAGGCTTACAGAGGTGCGTCTCCCACTGGGGCTGGCTGTGGATCTCTGCGCGGCTCTTGCTCCTCAGGTGGCTCTCCCCTTCACAGTAGGTGACACAGCAGCGGCAGGCTGCCGAGGGCTTCCCTCGCTGTTTGGACACTGTGCCTGTGGCTGCGGGAGCCCCCGAAGGCCTCTCTGAGCTCTGGAGTTCTGGGGCCTCTTTCAAACGACTTCTCCTCCTCTGAACGTGATCCAGACTGATGTCAGACTGAGAAGAGCAGCTTTCATTCCAGCCAGAACTGGCACTCAGACTTCTGAGGGGAAGAGCCAAGCGCAAGGCCTTCCAGAATTTGGAGCTGGAATGTTTGGACTTTTCTCCCTTCCAGCTCACAAAAGACACCGACTCCTTCAACTGCAGGATGCCTGGGTGTGGACGCTCAAGGGGCCGGTACTCCACCACAATGAGTTTGGTGGCAATGGAGTTCTGGCACATGACGCCCAGTTTGAACTCCAGCATGCTGATGCTCTTCTCCGTCAGGTAGTCTGGGCTCAGGACCACAATCATCCTCCGGCTCCTCTGAATGAAATCAAAAACTGCTTCCACTGTATCTACAGGAAAATGAAAAACAGCGTAATGGCTAGTGAAAACTTCTCTACAGCCCAGGTCCACACTGTTGAACCTAAAAAAGGACAGGCAGTGAAGAAACATTCGAGAAGACAGGATGTGAGTGCTGTATAACCCCCACATTCGAGAACTTAAGCAATCTCACGGACATCATCCTTTGTCACAGCTGCAAGGAATTTGCTACCTTTAAAGAGGAGGAGGAATTTTAGCTCATTCTTGTCCCCTACTGCAAAACTTCATGTCAGCAGTCTCCTTCTTGAATAAACCCTTCCTTTAACATCAAAAATGAATAAATAACTAAAATTGGTATTTAAATCAACCAACTCTAAAAGCAGCTACTTCTGTCTCTGTCTTGTTTTGAAATCTTCATCTCTGCTATTTTTACCTGATGCCAATATCTGACTCCCCATGTTTGCAGTACTTGACAACAGTTGCGATGTTACTGCTTTCTTCTTACCAATAGAATATATATGTTTAGGATTTCTCTCATATTCCATCCACAATATAATTTAAATCCTCCTACCCACTGGTATAATTTCCTCTGAAGAATATTGTTTATATATGTGGCTTCTAAGAATATTTGAAGAGCAAAGCCACTGACTTGGTTGATTAGCAAAGTACAGTAGGAATTAATATCTTCTAAGATCCTCAGTTACGTATTTCCTTTGACATCTAACTTTGGGATGTAACATTGACCTTGTCAAATAACGTTTCCTTCCTTCCTTCCTTCCTTCCTTCCTTCCTTCCTTCTTTCCTTCCTTGTCCTTTTATGTGCATGTATGAATGTTTATATGTATTTGTTTGTGTGTGTTGTGTAAGGAATCGACTAGAAATCAGTTAAAGACACAAAAATACAACAAAGGGTAAGAATCAGTCAATTAATTAAAACTTTTACAAATCACTCAATTCTGATAGTAAGGTGGATTTGGACAGGTATCCAAAGAAAGTTCTTCAAATAAATGCAGTGCTTAATGCACTGTGAGATTTAGCAACTCAGACAATGTAATTATCCAAAGGAAAGGTCTTTCCCAACTTTAAACAGGGTCTAGAGACAAACTTCAATTGTACTTACACTTTGGAGACACTTTTCGCCTTCAGAAGACAACATGAAGGTTTGTGGTGAGTTTGATCATTATGAACTTGACAGAGAATGAGGGAGCTAGGAACCTTCCCAAAGTATTTGTTTCCAATCAGGAAATTTAACATGAATTTGAATACAAATTGGAAAAGATGTCAATTTTCAAGAACATTTGATTGGCTTAATGAGAATGTAAACGTATTTTTAGAGCATTTTTGTTTTGCAATTGCAAGATAAATTTAAATTTTCGCTTCGCTTGAAAACCTGTGTGTGCATGCTCACCTTCAAACCCATGTGTGTGTTCTGATAACTTCTTTGTTCCCTCCAGTCCTACTCAGAATTTTATGAAGTTGCTCATTCAATAAAATGGAGAATATAAGACTAGAAACTCTTCTATTTCTCCTGGCTCATAAGCACAAAAAAGACAACATGGCTAGCTTTTGAACACAAGGATTTTGTACAAATTCCACAAGTGTGTGTTGTTTGGAGGGGATCAGGGTGGGGTATGTGTGGTGTTTCTCCTCAAAATACAGTACTCACTTTAGAAAAATGTATGTTCTTTCTGATAGAGATCCCGAGGTTGAAAATAAAACGCTTTCTTAGATCTAAAAACACTGCCTTTAGAGCTTCTTGCTGTTTAAAAAGTTGTGATGTTTCCAGAAAGGAGAACATTTACATTTGAAGGAGGACAATGGTAAATACAGACATGAGTGGCTGAACTGCAAACATAGTGGAATGAAAGAGGAAATGCTTCTCGGAGGAGCCCTAGGCATATGGCAAGGTTCCTCACTTGTTACTTTAAAAGAAGCTACTTCCTTTCATGGGGGACTTTAAAAATAACGTCCATATTGTCAAAACTTCCTACTTGAAGTTGGGAGTTACTATCATTTCTTAACAGTAAATAGTATTTGCAGAGGGAGTAATAAGTTAGATTGTTAATTGTTTGTCTCAAAACAATGAAGCGTGGTGGTGTAATGACAGGATCAATTTTCTTTTGCAGCACTCAATTGGCTTTGAAGTCATAGAAGTGGCACAGAACTCCATAATACTCAGGAACACTTCTGTGTTTAAAAGTCATAATCTTCCTGGAATTCACCTCGACTAAGTTACGGGTATAATTTCATTCTTTGTCTAGGATACTGGTGGAAGAAAGAATAGCAAGTCTCTCTCTCTTTCTCTCTTTCCCCCACACTCTCTCTCCCTCTCTTTCCCTCTTTCCCTCCCTCCCTGTCTCTGTCCTTTAAAACTTGAAGAGTAATAAAAATTGAGCACTTAATCTAGAAGATAAATTTAAATTAAAATCTTGATTTCTCTATTATGTTTTTATTTTAATATCTTTGAGTTCAATCATCTATAAAATGCATTTAAGAATAGACTTCTAGGGCTTTTGAAACAAATTGGATATCTACATGTAAATGTGTAGCATGCAGCAGATATTTGAATAATTTGACTAAATTATTACTAAATGTCTAGTGAGCATCATTTCAAATAGCATATACTGATGTTTATTGAACTTGTATCAATTCCTGATACTAACCTTAGAACATTACTTTATATGAATTTATGAGAAAAACAGGCTTCAATAAAATTCTTTGTATTCAATCTAAAATAGTTGTAGATAAGAAGTATTGCTGAAATAGTCAGTGTCCTACCTGATTGTGAATGTTACTTTACACCTCTTAAGTAGAAGTAGAAAAACAGGAAAGATTAGTTGTTAAATGTGTCTCTCATACAATGCGTCTCGTAAATGTGTCTCTGCAAATGTATTTGTGAGAAAGACCTAGTAGAATCAGTAAATGATTGAAGAAAATATCTGGAGAGTTTTAACAAGGTCAGTAATATCCTGGTGAACCATAGTGACAAAATGCTGATACCGAATCTTCTGAACACTCACCACTGTGTTCAAGAAGATCATATAATACTTGAGAGGATCTTAACACTCATCACCATCTATCCAATACAAAACACCCATTTATAAAATCTAATATGAGTCCTCGAGCCTCTAGTTGTGTATCTCCTATTATGGAGATGTAACATGTCCAAGTATAGTGAATTCCATTAATCTTCAACTATCTTACAGGTGTTTCTTAATTAACCAGAAATATGCTCTTGACTTTGACCCACTGATCCTAACTCTACCCTTTGGAGACTATTTGACAGGAGAAAAATACTTCAGTAGAAAAATTTTTACTAAGTTAACCAGTTCAGAATGTTACAGGGACTCAAAAAATATTTTTTGAACAAATAAGTAAATGGGTTTTTTTTTTTAAAGCAAGGAAAAAATATTTTTTGAACAAATAAGTAAATGGGTTTTTTTTTTAAAAGCAAGGAGTCATCCTTATCATTAAAGGCTCAATATTATTAACCCCAAAGAAAATGCATCCCAAATATTTTTCAATGGCTTATTTATTTGAAGTTTTATAGGAATGCATCTGATTCAAACTATCATATATTAAGGAAGGGCATTAATTTCTTTATCCTCTTCTAGAGCAAATGTCTTGGGCTCACATTAAAGCTGAAAAGGGAAAAGATTCATATAATCTACCCATGTTCCACACTGAACCAATAGGAGTAAGTTTGTGGGTTTTTTATTAAATGAATCACTCCTCTCCCCCATTTCTATACCTGTCTCTACACACACACACACACACACACACACACACACATATCCTAGTACACTTAATTCTTTTGCTAATATATAAAAGAAATATTCTTCATAAGAATTTCGCCCCTTTCTCAGATTTCTTTCAGACAGAATCTTAACTATCAAAACTTACTTGATTTCCTTTTATAAGTACAATCTTTTTTTTATTCTAATTTTTATGCCCAAACATGAAAATAAAGACATGAACACATGCGCAAAATAAAATTCAAAGCTGTAAATAAATGGTTTATTTTAACAATATGTAAATTTACATACCAAATGAAAAACGGAAAATACAAAATACATGAATAAAATTAAAAGATAACCTTAAAATTCTAAAACTATCAAAAGAAAATGGGTAATTAACAAGTGAAGTGATCATGTCTCCAAATACAGTGGAATACTTTTTTATTAGAATACTAGGGAATCGCCTAAGTTACTGTACAAGAGAGAATTAAATAAACTGTCATTGTGTAATCAGACACTCTATACAGCATGGCTCTTTGTTAACCTGTATGCAGAAGTCCTTATATCATAGATCTAAAACCATTAGTTTTTTTCAATTAAGAGATATGACTTGTTCTTGCTGATAAATTATAAATATGTGTCCCCATCTCCCTCAAATATTCTGAACTGGGCATTTTCTGAAACACAAAAAACCAAAACAAAAACTTGAAACTAAGTTCTCTTCGGGCGAGACATGTTACTTAGATTTGACATGCTCTGTATCACAGCATTTGGAGAAGCCCAGTACCAAACACAGTAATATAAACAGGAAAAAAATTAAGTAATTTCTAGGAGCACCCAATGGGATTAGGGATAAATATGGAATCAAAAAGTGCAAAAGGAATGCAGCCTAAAAGAGAATAACCCCCAAAGATGAGACTATC